ACCCCTTATCCCCTGGACCCCCAGATTCCCAAGCCCCTGGATTCCCAGATCCCTGAATCCCTGAGCCTCAGACCCCCAAACCCCTGGATCCCCAGGTCCCAGGCCCCCAAACCCCTGGGCTGGATCCCAGCACTGCACTGGGATCGTAATTGGCACTCTCATCTGAGTCTACACATCTGCTCTCAGCAACAGGGCGCTCGTTGTGGTTTGGGATCTTACAGAGTCATTTATACAAGTGGAAAATTAACATAAACCATGAATCATTTTTACGAAATGGGAAAATACCCCGGGCAGAAGGAGGCTGAACAGGCGATGGGAAGCTGGGTGGGTAATGGGCAACCAGCCCCTCCCAGCGTGCAGCTGCGGCCAGAGCAGCTCACGCAGCCCTCAGCTGTGATAACCAGCAGGGAGCTGAGGAGGAATCTCTGCTCCCCCGGAACCCCTGCAGATCAAAGGCCAGCCCAGCTCTGCCACACCAGGCCTCTTGCCCCACATCCACTGTCTCCCCCTGTGCCATGCTGCAACCAAGGACAAAAGGACTAAAATTGCACCAAAACTACTCCTGAAAGTAGGGCACAGTATCTTTCATATCGACCTGTTAACTGGAACTTATCTACGAACTTCTCTTGGAAGCTAATTATTTTACACGTTTCAATTAGGGTAATTATATTGAGCTAATCCCAAATGCTGGTCGCCTTGTGAGGATTTTCTGAAATGGGGTTTTATATTCCATCTGCACTTCCTTCCACTCTGGGAAGAGAGTAAGTGTCCCCAAAGATGAGAATGGCAATTTCGATTTCCTATGTTATTAGTTACATAGCACTACCCGGTCTGCATCCTTAATTTCCACCTAGCCCTTTGCATGTAGGGAGTAGGAATATAGCTAAAGGAATCCTGCAAGGAAGTAGACTCCCTTTCAAGCTGTGAGACAAGATATGCACCTCACACCTGGTTGCTGCATCACTCTGCTACAATTGCCTCCAGGCAGGTCTTGGTGTAGTGGTTTGCCAGCAGCTCTCCAGTCTTCTGATTTTCAGCTGTCCATTGCAGATGGTTCTCTTGTCCACATGTGGTGCCCATGGCTTCACCTTGCTAGAAAGGCTGGTGGTGTTCCTGCTACATCCTCCCGTGGGAAGCACGAGCACTGCTCTAAGTAGCCATGTTAACAGCCACAGTGATCCAGGAATTTGCTTTCTGCAAGTTCAACAACTGGCCTCACCTTTCTGTGGTATTGCCAGATAATACACAAAATAATACAAGAACCTCTTGTTATGAAGCATAACAGAAGAATAATTTGATCCTGGGAGAAAGAAGGCAGCCTAAAAGAAGAGACTGGGGCTTTGCTCCAACAGAGAGAAGCTTCAACTGTTTATGTTTTAAGGGAGAAAGAACACTACACAGCCGCTTGTCTGGTCTCTCTCCCTAAACAGGTATCCATACACAGTCTTCATTTCCAAGCATTCCTGTTTAACTTGAGAGTGGCTTGCTACACCTGGTATGCACTTCCACACAGGACAGTCATCTCCAAGGAGGCTTCTCCTCTCATAGCGATGTGAAAACTAGAAAGAAATGAGCTGTCTGTGTCTAGAAGTGCATCCACCTTGCACCTGATGCACGTCTGGTGAGAGACAGCGTGTGGCAACATTGCCTTTTGTCCAGAACCCATGTTATTTTCCAAAAATAAGAGCACATTTATTAGAGAATGAAGATAAAAGTGTCTCAGGTGCTTGGCTTTCAGTAGCCTTGGACTAAAGGAGTTACAATTTTGACCATGCCTCAGAACTAAATTCCAAACAAGGATGCTGTACGTAAGTTGATTTATGACATTTTGGGACAGAGGAAGATGTATCATAAAGGTCACTGAAAACACAGAAAAAGAAATGTGTGGAATGTGTTTTGAAAGCCTAAATAAAGGCAAAGGAGAAGAAAATAGAGAAAGAAAATATACAAGAAGATGACTCAGGAAGTTCTAACAAAGCACCAGATCTGACACCAATACTCACTGTGGTCAGTGACAACTAATTTAGCCTCACATGTGAAATGAGGATAGTAGCAACCTCCTGGGGCAATGGGAAACTTAATTAGTTGCTATTTGTAGATTAAACAGAAAGTGTGAAGGTGAAACACTAAATGCCAACTATGAATAGCTTCTGAAGCATCAGCCTCTTTAACTGGGCAATCCCATCCTTACAGAAAAGTGGGTCAGGATCAGTTTCTGAAAGAAATTTATTCTTACGGTTCTATCATGTCAAAAAGGTACCCAAACAAGGAAACTTGCTTGTAAAAGCAGTAACTGGTAACACATCTATGTAATAAACAACACAGCTTGTCTTCAACTCAGAGTTTCTGCCTCCTACCTGAACTGATATTCCACATCCCTTAACAGGAAACATCGTGTCACCTTCGCCAAAGAGCTCTGTGGGCCACAGCGCTCGGGATGAAGCTGTTGTGCTGGCGCTGTGCTCCTCACAGCGAGCTCCCGAGCAGGGATTCATGGCCCACCCGTTTGTGTGTCTGAACTCCTCCCTCCACAGCCCGGCCCCGCTGCAGCCAGTGCTGGGCTTTCCGAGCCAGCTCTACCGGTGGGGTCTGGGCTGGTTTCTCTGATCTTCCAAGGAAGAGATAAATGACACTTGCGGAAGCTCAAAACCAACAAGATAAAGACGAGAAGAGCAAACCCAGCCCCCAGGAGTTTTAAAATGAGCTTCTCTCTCTGGCTGTCCGCAGATTCCTGCTTTGCTGCCTCCTTCAGTGAAGGAGCTGGTACTGAAGACTGAAACCCCACAGCTTCTGCTTCCTTATGCTTATTTGCTGTGGCAATATTTGCTGCTTCTGGCTTTTCTTGGGCATAAAGGGCATAGCGGGCCAACG